TCCCGAACATGCTGCACCCCATCCCAGGAGGGATGCATTGGCGTACAGAGTCGTCGTTGGCCGAGGTGGTCGAAATGGGGTGCCAATTGACAGGTTGTCTGTGATGGTTCACCACGTTAAAGTGTGAAGGACTGCATGCGGGATCCGAATCTGCTTGGTGGCAGGATCTTGTTGCGGTTGAAAAACAGCGTTGAAGAACAGTTGAATGGGTCGCATACGTAACCTGGCATATGGGACAATGGCAATAGCAGCAGCCATATGCCCCAGTAGTCTCTGAACGGACAAGGCTGGAACTGTTCCGTGTAATCAAATCCGATGAATATGGCTGCATAAAGCATTCTGACGTTCTGGTGGGAGGAAAGCTTTTTCCCGTGTTGAGTTGAGTCGTGCCCCGATGAAATTGATGACCTGCGTGGGAATAAGGGTCGATTTGTCACGGTTAATGCAGAGGCCGAGAGCATCGAGCAAAGCGCAGGTCATTTGTATATCAGACAAGAGAGCTTGTTCGGATTGCGAGACGATCAGCCAGTCGTCTAAGTATAGGTAAACCTGTACTCCGCGAGTCCGCAAGTGTGCGCATACTGGTGCCATACACTTTGTAAAGACTCGAGGGGCTGTGGCCAAGCCAAAGGGTAGGACGTTAAACTCGAACAGGTCAGATCCGACAGTAAAACATAGAAAGCGTCTGTGTGAAGGATGTATGGAAATATGAAAATAAGCATCCTTCAAATCCAGTGAGGCAAACCAATCCTCTCTTTTCAATAACGGAAGAATGTTCTGTAAAGTGTTCATCCGGAACTTCCTTGGTTTGATGCACTTGTTAAGAGTTCGTAAGTCCAGGATCAGATGGAGACCACCGTCCCTTTTCGTGACCGTAAAATATCTGGAATAGAATCCATGCAATCCGAGCAGGACAATTTTTGAATCGCTCCCTTGAGAAGTAGCTGTGAGACTTCATTGCGTAGCACCGATGAAGGTGTGAAGCAAATCGAGCTCGAAGGAGAGATAACATCGAATTCTATCCTATATCCAAACGAGATGATAGATAACACCCACCTATCAGATGTAATGGACTCCCAAATGGGGAGTCAGCGCTGGAGCCGGTCCCCAAAAGGGAGAAGGGAAGGTGGTGCTGGAATAGAGAGCATGGTTCGCACAAGCCATCAACGTGGGCGTTTATCGGTATCGAATCGCCTACGGCCTTGGGAAAAACGCTGTTGTGCTTGCTGCTTCTGACACTGCCATTGTTGGTATTGTTGGGTTCGAGGGTAGTTTTGCTGGCACGGATAATATGGTTAATTCCGGTAGGACAACCGGGGCCACTGCCACTTACGTTTTTGCGGGAGCTCCATGCGGCGTGTGGTTAGGCGTGATTCATGAATCGCCTTTAATTTTCGGTCAGTCTTCTGGTGGAACAGACCGGTACCATCAAAAGGCATTTCCTCGATTCTGCGCTTCATCTCATCGGGGAAATTACAATTGCGCAGCCACACATGTCGGCGTAGCGAGATGGCGTTGACGAAGGCCCTTGAATCGATGTCTACATGGTGACAAGCGGTAGACAGCTGTTGTACCGCCACCTGCATTGCCTTCTTAATAAAAACCCTGGCAAGGTCCGCTTGGTGGTCCGGAAGGGAGGAAGTGACGTTATCCAGTTTCTGCATGATAAAGTACTGGTAATGTGCCAGTGTCGCTTCGTAGTTCGATATGCGCACGCCGAGTCCAGAGGCCGCATAGACTCGGTGCGCAAGCATATCAATTTTCCTCCCTTCCTTGTCCCGAGGAGTGGTATGTCCCCTGGACTCCCTGCCCTGGGAGGATTCAACCACAAGAGAGTTCGGTTTTGGGTGACGGAGCAGGAAGGGAATGTCATCGTCCCGAACTCTATACATAGCCTCATATCTGCGGGAGGTTGCTGATGGTTGGCCCGGTTGGTCCCAGGGTTGGACCATAGCCTGGTGCAGTGTAGTTATATGCGGCAGAGCTATGGATGCGGACTGCTTTCCCCAAATGACGTCATAGAAGCGATCTGTCGAAGGGCCTGGCTGTTGATGGGCTTCGATTTCAAGTGAACAAAACCAAGCGGGACATGAGCTCTGTGAACGAGACATGAGGTTCGTCAGGTGAAGCAGGCCATTGATATGCGACAGCCACATCAGGGGATGTGGAGTTGACCTCCAAGTCCTCGGAGTCTTTCACATAGTGTGGCCGGTCATCGTTTGAGGAGGAGGAGGTTTAGGGGAGGATGGGCGCCTCGTCTCCGTACGCCTGGAGGTGGATGGCACATCCCTCAGGACCGATGGTGATCTCTGCTGGTACCCACCCCAGCCGGGGGGAGCACCATATCCTGGAATCAACCGACTTTTATCTCGATGCTCGGATGAATGGCTGCGACCTCTAGGAGGTAATGGTGAGGCCACATGAGATTCAGTCAGTGGCATGGGTGTTGGTGAGTGTTCCCTCGGCAGGGAGTCTCTGATTTCGCCATCAGAGATGGACTCCGGAAGTGGCTCCTCGTGTTGCTGGGAAGGCACGCTCTCAGGCCGACTGGTTGGCCTCGGGGATCCCGGTGGTGTCACCTGCATAACGAGTTGCAGGGCCGGTCCCGAGGGGGTCGGTACCGTGGCAGCCGTCAGTACCAAGAAGCCTGATGAACCTGAGCCTCGTTGTTTTGGGCAGTCAGGTTTCTTGCTCTTGCGAGCAGGCTTATCCACCTTTTCCTTCCTCAACTTCTTATGGGTGGAAGTTTTATCCAGACTGGTATGCTTGCGCTTCTCCCGTTTCTTAGTCGGGGGAGAAGGCAGTGACTGAGTCCCCACAGAAGTGACGCCCTCGTCCGAAGGACACTGGGAGGGTCGGCAGAGGTCGAGGAAGGATGCTTCGCCGGAGCGCTCACGGTGGAGGAGGAGCGCTGAGGAGGCGCGGATGAAGAGAAAGCAGGCCGTAGGAGCTGTTGGTCAGACTGCATTAATGCCTGATCCCATAGGAGCTTTCTGAGACGATTCTCCCTATTTTTCTGCTCCTGCTTTGTAAACGCCAAGCAATGACCGCACTTGTCGGTTCTATGCCCCTCGCCGAGGCAGAGGAGGCATAGATCATGTGGATCGGCTGGCGACATTTTAGATCCACATTCAATACATTTGTGGAATGCCACCCGCTGCGCCATCGCGGAAAAATGAAGAGGACAGTATAGAGGGTAAGATAATACTTTTTTTTTTTTTTTTTTTATAGAGAGAGAAAGAATTCAAGAAGAAAACAGACAGAATGGGGAGAAGAACAAACTTGGAGTAAGAGAAGTTTAAACTTTTTGAGAAAAAACAATGAGACACGAAGAGGCACGAGGCACAGCGAACGGCAGTCACAAAGACTGAGCAAAATGGCGGACACTCCGCTCTATACCACAAAGGGGGAGGGGAGCGGAGTTTTCCCGCCAAAAACCGTTAGCTTTCTAATCTTCTGGCCTAGGCACTGCACAGGCGCAGCAACCCATATGTGTGATGCATAGAGGCCACGACGAAGAAGTTCAAGCACCAATTCTTAAGGCAATACAGTCTTTGGAAAGACCAGCTGAGATGCCAATGCGCTTACTGCTGAAAAACAGGCCTTCATGGTTCTTCAACTGACCTGACCTTTGTCAAAAATAACCATACTGCAAAATAACAGGGCACAGCCTCAACTTTCCATGTCCTGGTTGAAAAGTGCAGCCTTCTTTTTTTTCCTTCCATTATAGGTAGGGCTGAAGAGGGGACAACTAGTTCCTCATTGGACAACTAGTTCCAATTGCCAGAGTGGAAGGGTGAAATGGCTCAGTCAACTTAGGCAGGTCTTTAGTATTGAGGCATAAAAGTACAAAGAAATTATGGACTACCTACCTGCAAATGTTTCTTACATTAATAACTTAGGTTGGTTTGTTTGTTTTTAAACAAGTGCATTAATCCACTACATCTACTTTTCTACTTTTGGTTTTGTCACAAAATTGGACATATGAGTACTAACAAAGAAATTTTTCCTGTTTTTACATTATAAAATGCCTAGGTGGCAATGCAGTGTAATGGACTAGTGCAAATACATAAGAGGAAACTGTGCTTTCTTTAGACAGCAGATTAGCCCATTTTAACTACTCTTCAAAAACTCACAGTGGGCCTTACAAACCAAAGTGAAACTGGGGGTGAGGTAGGATCACATTATTGTCTAAAGAAGTTATAAACAACTGTGAGTAGGGAATGACAAGCATACAACAAACACCTCGATTAGTAAAACTGCTTGAAACTTTGGCTTAATAGTGCAGGGGGTCTTTAGTTTTCTCTGCTTTCATTTTATTTTGTATTAACTTCAAACAGTTTATTGGATTACTTTATTAGAACATGCAAACATGGAAACAAAAACATGTAACATCACCAATGAATTATAATAAGCAGTGCCTGTACTAGCTCCATGCTAGGACATTTTTCAAATAGTACAAATGAACCCAACACATTTTAAAAGAGGATTACTGAAACATTCATGGCACAGAAAATGTAAACAAACACAAATGTTAAGCAGCTTTAAGAGGAAAACTTGAGGTAGAAGCTTGCCATGTATAAGTATTCTATAAATTCTAGCATATTAAATGTGTCTTTAAAAATGCATTGGGACCCTAGCAGGTAGAAAATGAAGAGTTTAATATTCCCTTGTCTGCTGCTGTCTTAAGGAAAATTTCTTCTCTGAAACTGCTATTTGGGGCAGTGGGGCATTGGAATTCTTGCATTGCTCTTAATTTCAGTGAAAGTAATGGAGGTTGTGGCAAAGTTACAGAAGTCCCTGCTTATTTAAAGTAGTGGAGTGCTCAGAAAATGGTGGAATGCATATGGGAATCCAACCACACTGAGTTCCACCCCCAGGGCCCTTCTCAGTTGTTTTTGACTGTTTTCTCTTCCTCAGCCCCTGTCCCCTCACTCTTGGTTCTAAAGAGAGGTGGACACCCACATCCCATTTGATTGGAATGAAACACAAACTTTCAGTTAAGGTAGGTAATAGTTTTATTTACCAAAAGAGAAAAGGCTAAAAGAGTAACAAGAAGAACAAACAGAACAAGCAGAATATGTGGAAATACTGCTTGCAAGGCAAAATAACAGAACTGGCTAAAACCTGCCTCTATGTACCAAAGCAGAGGGCTTTAACAGGACAGACCCAAACAAAATTAGCTAAATGCACAGACCAAGGGCAGTGTAACTCCTCTAGTTACATGGCTCAAACATCTGGCAAAATCTAAGCAGATCCTCATTAACCAATCACAAGCAGGCTCAGGCAGCCTTCCCAGGTTTCAGGGTGCAGGCAGGGTGTTCATGTGTATGAGGGTTCCTACATAAGCACAGGTGATAATCCAAGATAACACACACACAATTGAGTCTTACAAGTTACTAGAATACAGTGAACATTATTTTTCTTATACAGGCTATATTTTCAAAACAAAACAGGAGAGAAAGTGGGAGTGAAGAGACCATGACATTGCATTATGGAAAAGTTTCAAAGTCCACAGTGTGTCAACATCTTAAGATGGACTACATCTACACAAGGCATTTATAGCACACTCAGGATCCCTCATGGAATTTGCATGCCTCATCTCTGGTTTTCCAGCCATTTCCATGGGTTCTTTAGAGCAGAGAAAGTCAGCTATTAACATTCAAATCACAACAAGCCCAGAAGCCACCTTGTGAAAAGTCAGAAGTCCCCTATACTGCCCTTATGCTGCAGCAACTCCTTGTGGTTGGTTAAGAGAAGAAATGAAAAGATGGAGAAATACAAAATTCCATGACAAAAAACCCTGTGATGGGTTTACATTTTTCCTCCCTCAATGAAAATGGAAGGTGATGCTTCAGTAATGCAGGGCTTAACTCCCTTGGAAGTCAACATATATGTTAAGGCACATTTATAATGGATGACCCAAGAATTCAAGCAGGAGTGTTGAGGCAAATAACTCTATACACATCTAAGAGTGCCTCCACTCCAATTCTCAATTGGATTCAGATTTAGTCACACTGCATACCATTCTTCGGCTGCTCTGTACAGAGTGTAAGACCCTCCTCTGTGCTGAGCAGCAGAAAAGGCCTTATAGTGTCCAGAGTTATTGCTTTCCAAGAAGCATCCTCTTCAGCAGCCATGACAGAAAGCTTCTAAGGATGCTCATTCCAGCTAATCGGGCAGAAAATGCTCACCCCATTGAACAGAGCATTCTGACAGAGGGGAGGGCAAGCATTCTCCTTTAACTTGTCCTTATACTGGCCGGTCAAGGAAGAAAATACTTCCTGCTGGCAAGCAAAAACTGAATTGGGTCATTTCTAGCAGCCAACTGAACAGGGCTTTGCTGTTTGGCGGGTGTACCTGAGCAGTTGTTGTTAGAGCAACCTCCTACTTGGCATCCTAAATTAGGAATGAGTACCAAATGCGGTGCAGCTCAGGAGATGCCATATGGAAGGGGCATGACCAGCTCATGAGCAGATACACTTTGGATCAGTTTTTAGCCATCACTGTGAAGAATAATGAAAAGATGATAATCACACTGCCCTAACCATAGCCCTCTTGTAGCCCACGGCTGAATCATCAGAAAACGTGCTCTGCCATAATCCAGGCAGCAGAGGCAGAGAACATGGACCGAAATTGAACTACTTAAAAGAAGCGCCTAAGAATATTTTTATCCTAATTGCTTAGTCAATGTAGTTGTAATGAAAAATACGAACATATTCAATTTCATTTAACATTTTAATACATTTCAAAATCCAGCATAAACTTACAGAAATTCTTTAGGAAATATCTAACAAACTTAGATGATAATGGGCAGTGCTTGATAAATGAGATTCAGTATCAGCTCTTATATGTTCAAATACGCATTAAATAATCATATAACATCTCTGAATTCTGATTTTTGCTCATATTGGCCTGAACAGTTAAAAAAAAACCCTAGCATTTTAATATTATTTTAAAAATATCCAAGTATCACATTTTAACATGTTATTGAAGGGGAAGAAATCAATTTAAGAATCTAGCACTAAACCAGGGCTTCTTCTCTTTTAATTAGGAAATGAAGACATGGTGCTTCTTATTCCCTAAAGAAACTTTTCTCCTTAAGAAAGTGCGACATCAACTATTCAATTGGTTGGACAGCTCTCTGAATGTCTCTCCACTGGTTTGAAAAGGAGTCTCTAAAGAAACAGTGCAAGAGACCCTCTGTTGCTAATGAGTCCATGATTATGCTATTGTAGTGCATCAGACACTGAGGAAAAGACAATACAGCACTGCATACAGTTCACAAACAGAGAGGAGGACCTCATTAGTCCTACCTAAAATAAATGCATGTGAAACTGAGCACAGGAATATGGCCAAAAAAGGCCCTTCTGTCACTATTTATTCAATAACTGCTTCAAGCTGCCCTAAGTTATAGCATCTGCAGGACTGTCCTAAATTAGTGCAATTGAGACCATATGGCAGAAGCTAGCTTCCAGCATCCCTTTTCAGCATGACTGAAAAAGAGATGGCAATTCTTGTACTGATGGGCCTTTTTTGCATTAGGGAAGGGAAAACAGGTTGTTTCTTGTGTAACCTTTACCTCTCTAAACTTGGATAAGATTTCACCTCTTATCCAAGTCCTGTGCAGTTGCTAGAGGGCTTAGAAGGGAGGTAGAGTCGTCTTTTACTTTTGGACTAAAGTCAGTCTCAGTCTCTTTCTCTCACACACACACGCAGAGAGAGAGCGAGAGAACACAAGCATGCAAAGGTTCCCCTGCTTTTCCTTATCTTCTGCATACCACAGTACATAGTAAAGAAAGCCTTCTGCATTTGCCAAATAGAGATAAAATTGGTAATGAGTGCAGATATCGGCTTGACTGGTTATTCAAGCTCTTATTTGTTGATGCTCGATTATGAACCCAATATCTTGTATCCACATGGTCACATTTTGATACATTTGTTATATTACAGCATTCTGCTCTATTATTCATTAGATGGTACCATGTTCCAACATTGCAGTCCTTTGAAGATCACTTCTGTCCAAGGACAAAAATCCAATGTGTACAATAGTGGATATCAACCTTGCCCAACCTGATGCCCCCCATACGAATTGCACTGCAACTCCCATAACAACCAGTCAACTTTGCAACAGATTGGAAAAGGGTGATAGAGAGGTAAAGAATGGATAGTTAGCATCACTTGAAAACAGGCATGTCTCTGACTGTTAATATAACAATATAGAGAGCAAAGACCAAAGACAAACTTCCACTGACTAGAGTTATTTGAGAATCACACTTTAAAAGCAACACACTTTTAAGGTTAATGAATTTTTTGCAGGTGATTCAATAATTTAGTCAAAATATTCCCTTGCAACCCAAAGGTAAAAGATTCTCCTGAAAACATAAGACAAGATGAGACAATCCTTTATGCAATTTTAAAAGAGATATAATGGTTAAAATGAACTGATTTTTCTCTGGGGAAGCAGAGGCATTGTCTGGAACACACGGGGATCTTCACAAGAAATATGGAAAGCAGCTGTGCTGATGGAAGTCTTCACCAATGGCTTTACAGCATACTAGGTTTTTTCTCTGGAATGACCTTTTCAATTATGCTTTTCTTCCTGCTTCTTTTTTAATCTTGCAAAAGAAGAGGCAAAAATATTACTACTATGCAACCACCTTCTCTGCATGTGTAATTCAAATTTCTATAAGCAGGCTCAAATTATCAAGTGAATTCTCCATCCCTGAAGGAAAGGGAAATGTTGTCATACAGTTCTCTCTGCCAATCTCACCACTTTCAACACTGAATTTGATTGCTTATGTTTTCTGTTTATCTGACATAAGAGTTATGTGACCTACAAAGAATTTCCACATGTGAGGGATCAATTTCCTCATTCTACTCAAGCCAGATAGACAGAGAAGTCAGGCAGCAGGCAGCCATTTATGTTGCAACTTCAAAAAGGCTGACCACTGAAATTCAACACCTAGAATACTTCATTCAAATTAAAAATTACACAGTTCAGTGAGTAGCAGAAAAAGCCTTTTGAATACAAACACAAACTTTGCAACATATGTACAAATACTGAGCAAGTAAGTAAAAGGTACATTAACAGAGAAAAACATCTGAAAGCAAAATACTAAGGGCAATAAATGGAACTAAATAGCATTTATAAAAACCATTTATACAAATTTACTTGAATCAAACACAGCCTTTCTATATGCAGGCACCAATTCAAAAGAAGAGAACAAAGTATGCTGCGGGAAAACATCTGCCAATTTTTTGTGTCCTCAGATGGGATGGATGGACACCCATACTGTCCCTGTCTCATACTCCAAGTGTTTACCCCATATATCAAAATGCCAGGCCTCAGTTGGTTACATCACATCAAAATAACAAACAGAAGGGATGAAGGAAGTGAGTCCACATCAAAGAGAAGCACCCTCACAATAGGAGTACCTTGTTTTTTTCTGCCTGAAAGGTAACACAGAAGTTACCTTTCAGGAGTTCTTAAGTTGTTCCAGACACCAAATTCTAATAGTTTGGGTAGAATCTTGAGAGTTAGCTTGCTCTTGGCCTGATCAACTTGGTGGTCTGAGAAAAACAACTAAGACCAATCAACTCTAGGCAACACTGAATTAACATAAAGTAAGAATTTGCTTAGGATTATTTCATGTCATCCTCTGAGATGCTAAAGTTAAATGCATTGTTGCACTTAATGTTCATGGTTTTAAAATTGCAGATTGCAGTAGATGGGGTGGAAACTGATAAAGAACAGAAGTAGGACAGGCTTTCCCCTCACTCTCCACAACACCTTGATAGGTGAAATTTTTCTCAGGACCAGAGCAGGGAGTAGGGCCAAGGAACATCCACTGAGGATGAAAGCAAATTCAGATTACCTGCTTCCTCTTTTAAGAAAAATTCAGCTTTCTTCTGATTCAGGAAGTTCTTTCTCTGGAAAATTATCATCACTGAGGTCACTGTAGCTATCACTAAACAGAAAGGAATAAGCAACCAAATAAGAATCCACTTCTTCATGTCCTGAGCAGTATACCTGATATAGAGTAGAACTAGTACAGGGAAGAAATCCCCCAAATGTTTGCTATTGATGATATTATCTTTCAAGGAACTCAAGATGGTTTACATAATTCTCCAATTGCTCCTCACAACAACCCTGTGAGGTAGACTAGGTTGAAAGTCACTGACTGGCCCACAATCACCAAGTGAGCTTGTTAATCCACTTTTTTGTATGTAGAACCCAGATCTTCCAAGTCTCAAGCCAACATTCTTACCACTATGCTATAATGACTTAAACAGTTCTCCAAAGTTTTTTTTTTTTCTGCCAAGTATGTATTAGTGCTATGCTACAGAGATGGCTCCAGAGAAGCGATGGGACTCTTAGCCTTCTTCTACACAAGCAGATTCTATCACTAGTATGCCTTTTCCAACTGGTTAAAATTCTGGCTAAAATTTGATTTTGGTTTTCCTTCATACAAAATAGTAACAGTGCAATCCTATGCATGTTTACACAGAAAAAAGCCCTTATAACTTCCAGCATGTTTTGTTCTAAGGAGTCAGTGTTAGCATATGAGAAGTGGTGGTGCCACGACAAACAGGAAAAATGAGAAAGTGGGGAGAATGTCTGGGAGAAAGGCAAAAAGGCAACAGGGACCTTTCTTACGAATTCACCCAGCCTTCATATTGTACCAGCATCTCTTAAGCAATATCTGATATTGCAGAAGTTTTTACTGCTCAGCTGAAAGGTATCCTGGAAAGCAGCAATATGTTTTTCATATTAAAAGGTAAGAGCAACAGGTATTCATGTCTATGGAAGAAACAGAGCACTGCTCTCAAAGACCTAGTTTGAGCAAGAGAATGTTCAATCTGTCTGTTACTAGAGAGGAAGGCACTGGCACCATCTTCTGTCAATATGATGCGCATTTTGCTAGTAATCAAAATTAAAGCTCTCCCAAGAATATGGTCAGCATATATGTTGTATCAACAATACAAATGCTCTACTTACTTTTTTCTGCAGGTACCCAAGGAAGCATGTAATAAAACTTGATATTATGAAATAGATTTGCATAATTCATGAAAAATTAAAATTTCAAAAGATGGTAATAAGAGCATACCTTCTAATTATTATTACTGCAATATAAAGTATATGCTAAAACAGAAAGTGTTTTTAATGTTTTTATTATTTCAACTGACTTGAATTGAAATACATATGCATTTCTTTCTTTATCATCCTTAGGTACTGCTTCTTTAGGCTATATGTATAGACTAAATGAATTTGGGCTTGGACATCACTCATGTGAAAGACTTCTCTCTCTGAAATTTCTGGCTATGAATAAAACTAGCTAAATAAAAGTGCTAAATAAAAATTAGCTCTTTGAAAGCTCTGCTTCAAAAATGTTTTAAGCATATGTTTAAATATTTTAAAATGCTTTCCTTGTGTATGTTCATGCTTATTTCTTATACAATGTGTGAGCAAGGTCCTAGTTTACACATGTGTAAATCCTGAGTGTATAATTGTTCCTATGTCAGACATCACTTATTATGGATAAAAATTTTACTATCATCTTGCCAACAGTAATAATCTAATTCCACATTTTTCTTAGATACTAATAACCACAATTTCCACAGTAATATATTTACCTGCATATTAGTGATGATTGTTATGAAGCATCACTCAAAAACAAAACAAAACAAGGTTACCTAGGAGACAATTTGCATCCACGCTGTAAGTATGCACTGAGAGAATCTGTTGCAGCAAGCAAGAGGCCAAGGTATGGAGGTGAAGGCTTCATAGGTCTTGAAGAAAATTCTGGATGGAACTGGACACCAACAAAATAAGGGTGATCTAAAGAAAATTCAGAGAGAAAACTCAAAAAGCTAGTAACTCCTGCTAAAAGTCTACTTTTTAAAAACAAGCAAAAAGCCAAATATTTACCACATAACAATACCCATAGTCCTAGAGCCTGTGTCAAATACACCATAAAGCACAAAAGGTTTGATTGTCTGGACTGTTAGAAAAACAGCAGCATTTCCAAAATTGGGATTTTGGGATTTCTCAAGTCTTGTTTGGTGATGGTATTAGTTAGGCAAATAATAGCACTCAGAATTTGAAAACAGAAAATAGGGCAAATTCACCACTAACAATTCAATAGCTCCCAAATTAAGATAATTTTGCTAGCTTGTGTTGCAATATCTGTTCAGACAGAAAAAAAGCCCTACAAATCCCATCTAAACTTGCATGGCATTGCACTTTTAATCCTGTTTAATTTCAATTGATGTCCAATTTTCTACTATAGTGTTTAACATTTTACATAAAGCCTGGTTTATAATTTCAAGAAATAAGTCTTATATTTATACACATTAAGCATTTAACATACATTTAACATTCTTTAATCTTTTACTATCAGCAAGTTAATATTTCCTCCTTTGAACCCCACCCTCTTTCAACTTCTCTCAGCAGAGTCATCTATGCTGAAACCAGCTGTTTCTCACTTTCAGCATATGCTTCTCAACACAGAAACACTTTCTCTAGAGAAAGGGTTCCTCCACCTCCAACATGCCTCAACTCACTATTAATATGAGTTTTGACATCTGCTCATATGTTTTGCCCACTAGTGGTAAGACAGCTGTATTTCACTGCAAAGTGATCTGGTTTCTGCTACTAATGAAAAGGTTTGCCTTGCTACCCAAAATAGTTTCTAGAAAATCATTAGAGGTTTTATTGCTTCGCTTATTTCTTTCATAACAGCACACTGTTTAAAAACATTATCATATTTCACCATATTCTATAAATAAATATTTTCAATCAAGTCTGATGAAATACTTTCCTCCACATCTGTCTGTATATTAGAAGTAATCTAGCAGGAATCGAATTAATGCAGACAGTTATTTCCAATTTTGAACTATTTTAAAAATGTCAAACTGCTTTTTGCGTCATGGCAGCAAACAAAATTATAGAAATAGTTCTTTGTGATGTATGCTGGTACTCAATTTAATCACTGCATTTCAGGTTTTCATAATCAGGTAAATGGACCTGATTCTTTTTGTGCACTGCTAAATCTGTAAGTATTCTATTTTAATGTATATAATGTATACAAGTATACCCTTGTGGTTAAAGGAAATGTGCATTTATAAATCTCGGATATTGACAAATGGCAATGCTGAAATTCATGACTTTACCATGTCTCAGCTTATTTATAATTAACCACAGAGGAAAGAGAGAGAGAAATTGTATAGAGAATTTAAATTTTGTGGTTAGTAATCAGCAAAAAAGGCTTAAGTAAAATTACATATAGTTGGTAGGAACACATCTGAATTATAAATAGGTTTATAAATTATCAAACTTAAGTTAAAAATTATTTTGGATTTTGTTGAAATTTTACAAATAATATATATTTTAAAGTGCTATGAGATAGAACATTTTTTCCTTAAGTTAGACCATACATATCTACAAGACCATTTAAATGTGAGCAGGTTTTAAACTGCAAATCCTGCCTCCATAGTATCAACACTATTTGCTCTGTCTCTGGTATCTGATGAGGACTCTGATCAAATCTCGGCGAATCTGTGTTAAACAGCAACACAGAACGCTTTCTGCCTTTACCTGCATAGCCTATTGGGGACCAATAAGACTACCAAGAGAAGGATTCAGCAAACAGATCTTCTACACTCCTTCCAGTACCTTTTCTTTTATGCACCATGGGACATCATATCCAAAACCAGTTATCACTGGCTGGAAGATGAACTAAGAAATATTTGTTCTTACTATAGGCACACATATGCTATAATTTATCTTGCTTCTCATCACAAATACGACTTAGTACAACAGCTATTTTAAATAAAGCACAATTGTATACAAGTTTAGAGACAAAAAAGACCCACAATTCCCAGTTGCTTCGGGAACACAGGGAGCTGCAGGTAGTTTTTCTGCTCAAAGTTGCATAGAAGTGTGTCCTTATTTAATTTGCTCTTTTTCAACAGAAGACTGAATGGTAAAATTCAGTGAGATCTATCCCACGCGTGTCTGTTAAAAACATTTCCATGCAATGAATGTTCCACCTCCCTTGTACATAAAATGCGGTCAAAATTTGAAGGACTTGCCTTTTAGTTCAATTATTTCCATTCTCTTCCCTTCAGTGTCATGGCCAACAAAGTTCAACCCTTTCTCTTCAAAGAAGTGAGTCAACTCAGGGTTTACCTTGAAAATGGAAACACAAAGAAAAGAAAGATAAATATTGTTTCACTTTGTGTTTAGATGAATATCATAATCCTTGTGGAATTGTATCTAGATAATGACTTCATTCTGGTAACCCTTCTGGTGACTACTCATCTGTGGTATTAGCTCTTGCAGGAGCTTCACACTGTTTGGCACCCATAACAATTTCAACAATAACACAGCAATAATAAAATAATACACTGGTTCAGACCACATGACTTCCTATCTAAGAAGTAATTTCCTCCTCCCTTTGCATTTCCTCCACCCTTTTTAATAGGTTCCTATATTCAAACAGTAAAACTTTCATGTATGTAAGTAAAATAATTAAACAAAATTTGGATAAATATACCCAACATGGAAAGAATAAATAAAAAACAAACTAATGCATAAAATAAAAGGTTTGTGCCATGAATGTCTTTTTGCTGTACTATTCTAGTTTTGCAGTGAATCGTCAAGTAAACAACAGCCCATGGTATTCCTTATGTTTTGGCTGTTTAGGACTATTATCAAATTGCTATGTAGGTTTCTTTGAGGGTAAAGCAAACAAAACTGCTCTATCAATGTACTTCCGCCACATCACTTTATAGTGTAAAGTTTTCTGCAATTCTCTCTAACTTTTCTAAGAGAAATATTTCATAGTCTTAATGCAAATACCTGTTAGAATGAACAAAAGTATTGCTCTGAATTCAAACAGTATGAATGATAAAAAGTAAAACTTATGTTTGCTGTCACTTGCCTCATAGCGATGCCTGTGTCGTTCTTCCACGAAAACTTCATCACCATAGAGTTTTCCTAAAAATAATCCCCCAATTTTTTTTAGTATTGTTGCTACTGACATCAACATTTTTATCTATGACCTAAGAGTTTCTAACCAATTATGGAAGCACTTACACAAATAGACATAGGCTAACAATCCAAACTGGAAGACCAGTTTTTCACATTCTGTATCTAAAACATACAGGTAGATAAGATATTCAGAAATTAAAACTGATTTTTAAGAGATGTTGTCCCTGCCTCAAACCCCTGGAGGGGTATAACAGGACCCTGTCTCAGGCAACCAGATATTTCATCTTATGGCACATGCATTATAACAACACACACACATAGAGCGAGAGAGAGAGAGAGAAGGAGGGAGGGAGGGAGGAAGGCTCCAGGATATGTATGCATTTGAAGAGAATGGGAAAAGCAAAGAATTATTAGGGAGTAGAGGAATATACTATTGTACTTTACTGTCCTAACAAAGAAAGAAAGATACAGTAATACCTAAAGGAACCCTTGTGTCACCAACAAGTTTGTGTTTCTTTTCAGTCAGCCCAGGTTGTTTTGTGCATTTCTAATTTTGGTGATGAAACTTAAGAAGAGATGTAAGAACTTTTCATGTAGCTAAGGTTTTACTAGACAGCTTTTTGAAATTCAATGAAAGGAGTGCCCAGGTTGGGACTCCTTTCCCCTTACCTGATACACATGTATTACTATAAGTGTCTGAAACTAGTTTAAAAAGAAAAATGGATGCTGGGAGAATTCAGACTGCACCTTTCCTTATGTAAACCAAAAGTAGATTTGATAAAATGAGAGGGCAGAAGGCCAAGTAGTAAGTAGACATGGGGAAGTAGCAACCCCTGCCATTGAGGTGGCAGGTAGCCAATCCTTCCTAGTACTCAGGCCAGGAGAAAACAAATGGGCACACACTGGGACCTCGAATTACTAGCAATGTTCCTACTCATGAATAGAAATCTACAGAATGACCTACTCATGAATAGGAAGCTATAGAATGACCTACTCATGAATAGGAAGCTACAGAATGGCGGGGGCAAACAATCAGTTTGATAGAGGAGGCGCTTCATGGCTCTCCTCAAGCAGAAAAGAAAATATGAGTCTGATTGGGCTCAATTAATTCTTTTTTTCCAACTTAGACTAAAGGAGCTCTGTGCTTACTGTTACCCTTAACAGTACAACAAAGTATAACTTGTTGAATTTTAAGCTGTTGCAATGCCCAAATGTTGCTAGACCAAGAAACCATTGGTTTACCCAAAACAACCAGAAAGGGAAGGCATAGTTTATTGTTGGGCTGGAACCATTGTTTACATCACAGGACTTCATTATGTGCAAAGCCAGAGAAAAGAGGCATTTGGAATTATTCATCATGTGTGTGCAGGTGAGTACTGGGGGGGTGGGGCAGGAATCATCAAAGTATTGAGGAAAAAAGGACAGTCCATTACTATGAGAAGAGTCTTTTTTAAAAATTGAAATGCAAGACTTCAGGAAGGTTGAAAGCTATCGACTTTATTTTGGTAAAAAGAGCTTCTCCTATACACCAGCACTTCAACAGAAAGGGTTAAGCTTCTCTGAAAGTGTTTTCTAGCACTTTGCTAAGCGATGGGTGAAGGGAGCTGCTCTTTTGCATGTTACAAACAGAGTTGGTAGCAACCCTGTATAGTCATCTCCCAGTGATAAAGAGGTAGTGGATATAATTGAAGGTATACCAGTGCTACAGTGGCTTTTGGGAGAGAATTGGCAAAAGGCTGTGGTTTATTCCATAAACCAATTGACAAACCATGGGTAGATCAACAAACTATGGGTTAAATTAAGCACATAATACTATCCTTTTTAATTTTTATGGATTAATTTTATTTTTATACCACTGAATAGCAGGGCTCTTTCAGTGGGTTGCAAAAATTAAGAAAACACAGTGTACAGTTCAAAAACATCAAGTATACAATTTTTTTAAAAAAAGAATTTAATGCTGTGGGGTGGTATGGAAATGAAATGAGTCCCTGGAAGACCCACTGGTCATTAGGATCAGATGGACAAATGGTCTGAATTCATACAAAGTGTGGCATGTTTTATTTCCTAATTTAGGAAACACTTATTACTTGGAAAGAAAATGGATGTAAATGTTAATATTGAACTGAAGGTTCAAAATAAATCAATATTTTTCCGTTTATCCTTGTATGCCTTCCATAAAAGTAAAGAAAAAACATGACCCTCCAAAGCTAAATTGTTTATCAAGTTATCAAAAAGATTCTTAAATAATAAGGACAAAGGATTTTGGTTTTTGTCTCCTTGCCCAATCAAGAGAGTTACAAATGGGAAAGGAGTAAGGAAGGAGCATTCATCTCCCATAGAAACTGAAAGTGTCTCTTTAACAAAGGCTCAGAAATTGTGTTCTTTATGTATCAGTCAAATGCGTCTTTCACTTAACAATCCCTTCCAAAATAAATGCCAGAGTACTTCAATTATTAATCTAGAGTATTATGTTTTCTGGCTCTTAAATACAACCATGTCAAAAACAATGTTGGCTCATAATGAAATTAATGCAGCTTACATTAAAATGAATTGGTTAATAGGTTTGCTTTCTGACAAGCTCATATCTTTAGTGCCATGTGTCATATTTACTGAACCAGAACGTTGGAAGGGATTTTTAAAAGCCAGCTATCAAGCTAGAATGGAAAGATTAACAATATACAATATTTCAGCAAAAATAAAGTAAAACTTGCAGTTTGTGCTTGACTCCTCAATAAATTAGAACATAAAGTACAGAGAAAAACCAAGGAGGTCACTTTGAAAAAGAAGATTAGAAGGTGATGGGTTTAGGCACATTGGGCTGTATTAGAAAATACAAACTTGGTATTTCTCTTGCTTCGGCTTTGCTTCAAATTGTGCAAAGTTCTTATCTGGGAGAAAGGATATAGAAAAAGCTGACATACAATCAAACCTCAACCCCTTGCGGGTTTAACTTTTGTGGATTTGATTAGTCACTAGTCTGCCATCAATAATTAAATGAGATTTAGTTATTTATTTAATTTTGGAGTTTTGCCGCTTACTGTGGCCTATTGCCTGCTACTCCACAGAATGCTACACAAGGAACACTCCCCTTCCCAGCTGCCACCATGGCAGGCCTGCAACAGTGTGCTGCCCCCCAAGTGTGAGGCCACATGTTAGGCTCATTATGTGAGGCAGGATGAGCTCCTCTGGAGCAGCTTGCATTTTGGTGCATTGGGTCTTGTTTTAAGCAAAAGGTTATTCAAACTGCAAAAGAGGTGAGTGTCAGGCAGATTACCAGTATGATCAGTAGCTAAGATCTGGGGTGGCACTTAGAAATAATTAAGTTTTTCCACTTTCACAGGGATCCTGCATCCCCTGAATGTGAAGGGCTGACTGTAGTTCCAGGCAGGTAATAGACTAACAAAATATTTTTAATTCAAAATCAAACAGCAGAACCTAACAACTGGAAATATGTTCTTCTATGACTCAAGTCACTTAACACAATCTAGCCTTGTCTACATCTGTTATTATATATACTTGGTCTTGCCACTTTGTCCCAGCAAGGAATATCTTAAACCATCAAATTCAACCCTTCTGCATTTCTACCATTATGTGTTAAAATAAATCAATCGTATTGCATAAAATGCAGGTTTATATTTCTGGAAGGCACACAGGTAATTCATTCTCCCTGAATGGGGAGAACGAGCGAGACTCGGCAAAGGTTGAAAAACGTTTCCATTTAGCCGCATATGATTTCCTTGTGGACGGCTTTAAGGCAGAATTGATGATATGTTGGATGTCAGGGTGCAAAGCTGTAGAATTTGACGGGTCATGTCTCGAATCCGATGTTACTTGTCTCGAATCCGATGGTACGGAATGAACAGAGAATGAAGGAGACTAGAAAGCGCCCGAGTGGTTGGATTCGACGACTGGATTCGAACCAGTTGAAGTTGTTGTCGGTACTGAGGGAACGATGGTAGTCATAGGATGCGCCACGCTGTTAGATTCAGTGAAGGCAAGTTTGGGTGGCGAAGCATACCGTCCTTTTGGGTTATGAGATATGGAAGCGACGGTAAATGCAGATATTCCCCCGAGAGATGTCGAGTAGTGTCACAAACCAAGCTTGATGTGGCCACCAAGGGGCAACCAGTATCCCCGGTCATGCACTATTTTCGCTATGACCCGCATCACAAGAGGGATCGGGGGGAAGGCATAGAAGGTCATGTTGTTCCACGGGATAATGAAGGCGTCCCCTAAGGATGCATGTCCGATTCCCGCTCTCAAGCAGTAAGCATTGCACATCCTGTTCTGTCGAGTGGCGAAAAAGTCCACGTTGGGAAACCCCCAGCACTGGAAAAGATGGTTGCGTGCGAGGATCTAACTCCCATTCGTGAGAGGTGAACATGTGCCTGCTGAGAAGATCTGACTGCACATTGTCTGCACCAGTGAGATGGACAGCCCTCAGCATGATGCCTCTCGGAATGCACCAGTCCCAGATTTTCATGGAGAGTCTGGCCAGGGTCGGTGACTTCGTTCCCCGCTGCTTGTTCAGATAGAAGACGGTAGCTACATTGTCCGAAGATATCTGAATGACCCGATGTTGAAGAATGTCCTCGAAAGAACGCAGGGCTTTGAATACCGCTAGTAACTCCAGGGAGTTGATATGATCTGTGGATTCTCAACGATTCCACGTGCCTTGGGTACATAGTCCGGAGCATATCGCTCCCCATCCCAGAAGAGATGCGTTGGTACCGAGGGTTATCGAAGGAGGCCGTGCCCTGAAGGGGACTCCAACAGTCAGATTGGCCGGTACCGACCACCAAAGTAGAGAATGGAGCACAGAAGATGGGATTCGAATCAACTTCGACAGTGGGTCTCTTTGAGGGTGGTACACCTTGTTGAAAAAAAGTTGTAGTGGACGGAGTCAAAGCCTGGCATGCGGAACTATAGTAACTGAGGAAGCCATATGTCCCAGGATCCTCTGGATAGACTTCGCTGGAACCACCGCGTCTCGTCGCATTCGACAGATGTGGCGAGCAAGAGTGTGTTGTCTGTCCCGAGGAAGGAAGGCTTTTTCCAACGTCGAATCCAAGTGGGCTCCAATGAAGGTGAGCATCTGCGTTGGAAGAAGATTTCTCGGTATTAATACGTAGGCCCAGGTCATTCAATAAGGCACAGGTTGTACGAATAGACTCGAGGAGTCCCTCCCTGGACTGCGACACTAACAGCCAGTCATCGAGGTACGGGTAAATCTGTATGCCTTGGAGACGTAGGAAGGCACAGACAGGGGCCATACATTTGGTAAATACCCTCGGAGCCGTGGCCAGTCCAAACGGCAAAACTGTAAATTCACAGAGATGAGGTGCAACCGCAAAACGAAGGAAACGCCTATAACTTGGGTGGATCGAAATGTGGAAATAGGCGTCCTTCAAGTCCAATGAGGCGAACCAATCCTCTTTCCTTAGCAATGGCAAGATGTTTTGTAGGGTGGTCATCCGAAACTTTTTCGGTACAATAAATCGATTCAGGTTACATAAGTCCAAAATTGGACGTAAACCACCATCCCGCTTCGGGACCGTAAAGTATCTGGAATAGAATCCGTAGAGTCCGTCATATGGAAATACCTGACGAATCGCTCCTTTACAAAGAAGTTGATGCATTTTTCGAGCAATACTGGTGAACATGATGTAAACCGTATCGGACTCGATGGAGGAACGATGTCGAATTCTATCCACTAGCCGTGCTGAACGATGGACAATACCCACCGATCAGATGTGATGGACTCCCAAATGGGGAGTCAGCTTCGGAGCCGATCCCCAGATGAGAGGGGGGTGGTTATAGTAGGAGTCTGAGGAATGGTTCACCAGTCCCGTCAACGCTGCCTCTGATCATCGAAATGGCGGCAGCCTTGTTGGTAGCGTTGTTGGGGCTGCAGACGGCGGCGCTGTTGTTGTTGTTGGCGATGCTGGGGTTGTTGTCTTGGCTGATAAGACTGCCTGTAGCATGGACGATTCCATGACCACTTACGTCTAGTTTGGGTCTGTATCTCCATCCTGCGTGCTGTCATCCGGGATTCATGCAGCTTCTTTAGCTTGTGGTCAGTGCGAGAGTGGAAAAGCCCGGACCCGTCGAAGGGCATTTCCTCTATTCGGCGCTTTGTTTCCTCTGGGAAATTGCACTTTCTGAGCCAGGCGTGTCTCCGGAGTGAAACGGCACCGACCAAGGCCCGTGAGTCTGTGTCCATGTGGTGCCTGGCCGTGGACAACTGCTGCACCATGACCTGCATAGCCTTCTTGATTAGGACCTTAGCCAGGTCTCCTTGGTGGTCCGGGAGGGTCGAAGCGATGTTGTGGAGGCGCTGCATAATGAAGTACTGGTACCTCGCCAATGTCACCTCATAATTAGAGATCCGTAGCCCCAGGCCTGAAGCAGCATAGACTCGCCTAGCCAGGGAGTTGATCTTTCAGCCCTCCTTGTCCCGTGGTGCCGTTTGCCCTCTTGCCTCTCTGCCCTGGGAGGATTCCACAACCACTGAGTTCAGCTTGGGGTGACGGAGGAGGAAGGGAATGTCCTCCTCCCAAACCTGGTACATCGACTCATACCTCCTGGACGTAGGTTGAGGGTGGGAGGTCAAGTCCCAGGGCTGCGTCATCGCCTGCCTAAGGTTGGTTATGAGCGGCAGGACAATCGATGTCGACTGTTCCCCGCGGATGACGTCGTAGAACTTGTCTGTTGTCGGACCCAGATGCTGGATGGCGTCAATATCGAGGGACTGGACAAGTCTGGACATCAGCTCCGTGAAGGAGATGTGGGATTCGTCTGGTGACGCAGGACCCTGGGATGTGATGGCAACGTCTGGGGAGGTTGAGTCGACCTCTGAATCATCAGAATCGGCACTGTAGTAGGGTGGGGCCGATGACGAAGACTCCACCGGAGAGAAGGAGCGGCTGCTTTCATCCCGGGCTGATCGTGGGGATGCCCGTCTCGGGTCCGATGGACGTGGCTGGTCACGGGATGGCGGAGAGGACCGCCCCCTAGGAACAGGGTAGTATGCCACAGAAAGTGGGTCACCCCAAGTATGGTAGTAGGGGTGACGCCAACCCTCTGAATGTTGCTTGACGGAGCGGCTCCTCCGGCTTCCCGGTGGGGACATTCCAACATCCGCCTCCATAGTAGCCGCGGGCATGGGTGTAGGCAACCGAGCCCTAGGGGGAGCATCCTGAATTTCCCCATCAGATATTGAGCCCCTTTGCAGAGTTGGAAGGGGCACAGATGGGAGGTCAGCCACGTGGCGCGGGAACCCTTGAGGGGTAACCCGTATAGCCTCCTGAATAACCAGGTCGGGCGGAGTTGGTACCGTAAGTGCTGCCGGTACCGAGGGGGCCGTCAAATCTGAGTCCCGGTGACGGGGACGGTCCGAGTCCCTTGGTTTTTTGGGAGGCTTGGAGACTTTCTTTCTGGTCTTCTTATGGCCTGCCGACTTTTCGGGTTCGGCATGCTTTCACTTCTCATGCTTCTTCTTGGGAGAAGCAGAGGGAGCCACCAAAGCAGACGCGCCTCCGTCCGAAGGGTGTGAAGGTGGGGCCACAGAAGCGGAGCCAGGCTTTGGGGCAGAGATCAGCGGATCAGACTGCAAAAGGGCCCGATCCCAAAGCAGTCTCCGGAGGCGGTTTTCGCGATTCTTCCTGGCCTGCTTGGAGAAGGCCAGGCAATGAGTGCATTTATCGGTCCTATGCCCCTCACCCAAACAGAAGAGGCATAGGTCATGTGGGTCAGTTGGCATCATTTTTGACCCACACTCCACGCATTTGCGGAAAGTCGCTCGCTGCACCATCGTAGAAGAGAAGAAGAGAGAGATAGTGCAGAGGGTAAGTATATATTTTTGTTTTTTGTTTTTAGATAGATCGAAAAAGGAGAAAAGTGAAAGAAAATGCAAAAACTATACTATACAGAGGGACTAAAGGGAGTAAGGAGAAAAAACGGGAGGATAGAACTGGAATATTCGAGAAGAAAGGCAAACGGTCAGAGCGAAGTCGAAAGCGGCACAAGCACAGTGAACGGCGGTCGCAAAGACTGAACAAAATGGCGGACGCTCCGCTCTTTATAGGCCACACGGGGGCGGGGGAGCGGAGCTTCCCACCAAAAGCCGTTAGCTGGCAATCTTCCGGCCAAAGGCACTGCGCAGGCGCAGCACCCATATGTGTGATGCACAGAGGCCACGATGAAGAACATGGGTATTTTATAGACGGGGGTGGTGCTTGACTCAAGCAAAGAGGTAAATCAATTAATCAAATTCTGCCTTTGCCATGTCACATGCCGTTCAATTTTGTACCACACTCTAAAGCAGAAAATGAGATTTAATTAATTTATTCTTCTCTGCATTTAATTTATAATAAGGAAACACCAGAAATTAATTGGCTTAATGAAAAAGTGGAATTAAAATGGAATAAAATAATAGAAGTGGAATTCTAGATTCCCCTAATCATGGGCTTATAGTGGCTTGATATACTCTGCATGTTTTGATTTACTAATCAATACATTCTTCTATACACACTTTTATGGATTATCTGCAAACTTATTATGCATACTACACTCATTATGCATATTATGTTGGCAACATACAGGTATGTGAGGGGATGTCACATGGAGATGGGTAGGAGACCTGTTTTTCCCTGCAGAGGAAGGCAGAACGCACTCCAACGGAGCAAAGCTCAGGGAGCCAAGGTTCATTTGGATGCCAGGAAGCACTTCCTGACAGTCAGGACCCCGAGGGCATGGAATGGGCTTCCACGAGAGGTCGTTGAGGCCCCATCGGTGCGGGTATTCAAGGATAGGCTGGACGTCCACATGGTGGGGATGTCGTGAGCGGAGCCGGCTGGTGCCAGAGGTCAGACTGGATGGCCCGGGAGACCCCTTCTGACTCGCTCTGTTTTCTATGTTTCTATGTTTCTGTTATACTCATATTATACTCATTATGTGAGATTCCCGCTATTATATAATTTTCTACCAAGTTCTACCAAGAGCAATTCTAATAATGACCATACATATTTTTCAAGAGAAAGCACTGAATCAAATCACATTTACATTTAACACCTACATTCAAAATAGAACACATGTGAATGAAATATGCATGGACATATTTGACCAAAGGAACTACCACTTACTTAAGACAGAGTCCTCTGTTTTAAAAATAGTTTTCCTTTTTCCTAGTCTCATTGTTCCTCCCATGTCTCCAGGATTGTGTTCAGGCATGTCAATGACCTTAAAGAAAAATATTTAAATTGGCTTGCATCATTTATCCTCTGAACAAGACACTTGATCATCAAGACATGTATCCATAAATCTACCCACATTTCTAGCACTGCAGTAGTGTTTGTAATACAAATAGACTCAACCCATTGATGAAATTGATATTTTGAGGACCTGGTGGAGTCCCAACATTAGCTGTGTCATTTATATAAGTGCTGCTAACACCTTAGCAAGTGTGAATCGCTCCAGAGAGCTGTGGCAAATGGGGTCTGAAGAGAATCTTTCAAATTTTGAATTTTTTTCTCCAGAGATGTTGAATGTGATTCAGATAAAATTCAACACTTTCTACTGATTTCAGTGAAAGAGTTAAGCATACACGTAGATAAGAAGAGCATAGATGGACCACATGAAAAGTTTACCTAGTCCAGCACTCTGTTTACACAGTGGACAACCAGCTGTCCACAGGAAACCAACAAACAGAACATGAGGTTATTATTATTATTTAATGAATTTATATGCTGCTACAATAGCCCATATCTGGGCTTTCTGTGCAGCTTACAAATTAACAGCATCCTCTCACCCATGTTCCCCAGCAACTCCAAACACATTTCAGGTGCTCTATAAGATGGCCAACAAATATACTGAAGACCTGAGAAAGGTTTTGAGCAAGTATGCTTCAAAAGGAGGAGATCTGAACCAACTATCCCAGTCTGACTGAAAGAACTACTCAAGAAAGAATGTCCAGACCTATCAAAGGCAAGCCCAGAGTTGTTCTACTTAAAAGTCAGCCCTGCATAGGGAAGAGAGTGGAAATGTACAAATGCAATTACTTCATCATAGAAGTAATGCTTGCCAAAGCTTTACAGTAACCGCAGGGAGCTTAACAAGCCTAAAGGAAGTATGTAATTTAAAGGAATGGGGACAGCCATCCTTTGGTTCCTATGTATTGTATAAGAAGCCATAAGATACTTCTAATTCCCATACTTGAGAGAAGAGTGCTCAAGTCTTGAGGCTGAGCATCCACACTCTGATCCCTTTATCCTTCCTAAAGCCAGCATGAAAAGAGCAATGCCAGTTGCTTCTCTATGATTGAAAAACTGACTTCAGCTAGGTAAAGGAGGGTGGGGCTGCTAGGATGTGAACTATCCCAAGAGAGCTTTATTGTTCCTCCCCTCTGAATCATCAGAGCTATCTAGCTAAAATGCAGAACAGGAAGAGTGGGGAGGCAGAGACTGCCTGTGCCACTGCTCCCACTCTGCACTAGGTACTCATAAACCTTCATGTTTAGGGGCTTACAAACTTCAAGGGTACAACCAGCAGAACTTCCAAGTAGTTCCATTTTGTCTAACAAGGCACTTGCTCATAGTTATATATCGTTTATTCTGAAATTGTTTGTTTTGGGTTAGGTGAAGCATAGGTGGTAGGAGGGTTTTCCTGCATTTATGTCCTTGCTAGAGAAACCTCAGCTGACAACAGAGGAAGTGCTGGGGATGAATTTAGATAACTATGTTTTCTAAACTATCTCCTTCATAGCAGAAGCTAACCTGACAATGGCCTGTATACCCAGAGACATAGAAACAGAGCAAGTCAGAAGGGGCCTCCCAGGCCATGTAGTCTGACCCCTGGCTCCAGCCAGTTCCACTCGCGACATGCCCACCATGTACATGTCTAAATATATACAACGCAATCATCCTGCTAGTGCAAGTGATGTTGCACTATAGAAACCCAGTTCTGAACTATGCATGGGATAATCTAATTAAAGTTCTAAAGACACTACCACTTGCAAATCTTTGGTTTACAAAGTAATCTGCTTGCATAATGGGAAAAAGCAGTGCCTTCCCCTACTTTTATACTGGTTTTCAGGCCACTTTCAGGAAATTTGGTTAGAACTGTAGTGCCAATTTTTCCAAAAGTTATTTTCAAAATTAATATCTTACCAATGGTAACATTTTGAGTGACTGACACTTAAAAGCACTGGGGAATCCTAAAAGCACTGGCTTAGAACTTGTTACACTGACAATTACAACTGAGTGATGGTGCTTAGAGTTATTCTGTATATGAAACTGTATTGGGAAAGAAAAATGCAAGTGAAATACCAGAAAGCAATGCAGTGTGATAAGCCTAGAAGAAAAATATCAAATGACTTTATAGTCCAAGAGCCCATGTCAAAATATGTGTTTAAGTTACAAGGGTTCTGAATATCTGGACAGCTTTTTGACATTTTGAAATTTCCAGAGTTACCAGTTTTATGTACAACCATTCTGGCATTTAGGGTGTGGCAGCCCCACAATGCCCTATTTTAGAGCTAAAAATTATATCATAAAGGATCAAACAGGCAAAATCTGTTTGGGAATAGTGTATATAATTACAGGCTGTGCCAACTGACTGATTCTGTTAAGGTGTACCCCCATTCTGAACCCTCCAGAAAGGAGACTTTATTATTGCATAATAAAGTGCATGGCTGAAACCAATAATAGGGTATTTATGCTGGGATTTTCCAGGAGTTACATGTTAATTGTTTCCAGTGTTTTCACAAATGAAATAAAAGCAAATGTATTTTTATAGCCAAATCAATACTTGTATTCTGAAATAGTTCAGAATTTCAGAAATAATGCATATAGTTCCACTAAAGTATATAGGAACTGTTATGACTAGTAATATTAAATGGTCTGCTTTGTTGTCCCTAGATAAAGCAGTCTGACTGGATATTTTGAGATACTGGAAAAAAATCACTACCAAATGATTTTCAGCCATCTATCTGATGGCATAATTAACCATCTTCTTTTGGAACATGCCACAACTTTTTAAAGATGCCTAGGCAGTCAACCTCTTGTACAGAAGTATTTTTACACAGGTTCTTGGACTACTGACATCTATGAACGCCTTCACAGAGAAAAAACAATTGAAATACCAAGTCACTGCTTATTACCAGATAGCAATAGCTATTAACCCTTATAAAAGGGTTAATAGCCACCCCGAGGCTTTGTTGTGATGGGGGCGGCATAGAAATGTTTTAAATAAATAATAAAAACTATTTTTTCTTATTCAAAATAGGGTTCAAGTGCAGATGATATATTCAATAATAGGGACAAAAATAATGGAGAAGTCTGTTTTGAAGAGTTTGAGGCTGTTATAGTCAAACTAAGAGAGTGAGGCCAAATACACCCCTCTTGGAAGAAGGAATACTACAATTACTTGATCTTATAAAACCAAAAATTAAAAAGCCCTACAGAGATGGACTGGTTTCTTTCTCATATGTAGTATCATTAATATGACAATAAGAACTTTCCAATAAATACACATGACTATATTTCCTAACCTACACTGTGAAGACAGTCTACACAGAACATTTATTTCTTGAGCAGTACAATCCTGTGGCCCTTATCCTGCTTCTGGACAGCCATAGGAGTTCTTGGAGACTCTGCTATGAGGGTGAAAAAGCTGCTCCAATCTCACAGCTGAAGATCTACATTTGGATTCTTTCGCTTCCTCAAAGCCAGGATGGAGAAAAACCATCAGCTACTTCCAAGGTTGCAAGAGTGATCTCAGAGAAGGGCTTTTGGAGGTGCAGAGGGAGGAAGGAGACAGGTGCGCCTGAGGAATGATGAATCAGTGGCACACCTCACCCTTCTTCCCTCCTGGTCTGAAGTTCTGTATTACTGTGCAAGGTGGCAGTGATGGGGAAGCAACCTTCATCCTCCTACCTTACACAGAATCCTCATATTCCTCAGAGTTGGGAGGGGTATGGACATCTCAGTTGGACTGCAATTGAAATGAATGGCAGTTGTGCTCTTGCCTCAATTATTAGATGCCATGCCTACTACTTGAGCTAAAAAGTAATCTGCTCCATAGGGTGTGAACAAGTGGTGGTGTTGAAAGGAGGAGAGGTGATACAAAGGCTAACACTTCACTCTTCTTATTTTGATTTGCTTATGATCACTGCATCTAGTTCAGTGTGGTGCCACAGTAGTACTATGTAAACATAATACATGAAAGAAGTACCTGGAAAAAAATGAGTTACCTAAGCAACCTAAGAACAGTAAACAGAAATGGGAACACTGCATTCCAAAGAAAAATTTCAAAATCTGTGCTATCATCAAATCATTACTAAGACATGGCAAGGATCATAAAATATTGTGCAAGCTTTTGAGTTCTCCAGAACTTTTCATAGGGGAAAACTGTAAAGAAATGCTAGAAAAATAAATATGCCTCTTTGCAGTTTATATCCATGTCTCTAGTGGACATGCCATAAATCAGCTGAAAAACATCATTAGATGTACTGCTTAATTAATGTCTATTCCTCCACACTGCTTCATTTTACCTGCCCAGCTCCTGTAATCCCTTTGGGCTGCTTCGACCTCCTACTTGTCCCTTTCCAACTCCAGGTTACCTTTTCTTCCTTTTGGCTCCCATACATAGCCTCTCTCTGTGTCAAAGTATCTCTATACTGGGGTAATTAAGCCTGAACTAACTTGCATACTCTTTTCCATTTCAGCAGTTCCAGCTGGAATATGATACGTATTTCCTGGTTCCTACCTATAATGCATACAGAATTGTTTCTAATAGCTCCCATTTCACATCATGCCCTTGAGATCAGCAACAGATGCCCTTCTCCGGGAACCCTTCGTGAAAGACATTAGGTGGGTGAGTACCCAGAGGGCTTTCTCTGGGGTGGCGCCCCACCTATGGAATGCGCTCCTCAGAGAGGTCCGCCTGGCGCCGTTGTTGTTTTTCGGCACCAGGCTAAGACCTTTTTATTTAAAACTTATTTTAAGTGTTAATTATGTAGGATTTTTAAAAAAAAATTAAGCCGAGATGCACCGGGTTTTAATATTTTTAGTGTATAATTTTTTGTATGTTTTTGTTTTTGTTGTGAGCCGCCCCGAGGGGGCAGCATAGAAATGTTTTAAATAATTAAATAAATAAAATATTCCAGACCAACAATATCCTGTGAAAACATATTGAAACATTACCCTGGATATACATCCACACTTGATTCAAAAGATGCATCC